TGACTTTGGACCATCGAGTTTGACAATCATATTTGATAAGAGAACAATAAGAAAGGCAATAAATAAATTGACGGCTTATCTTATCTCTCTGCTGCACAGCCGGTGCACAGAGAACACAGCAACAACTATCTATGCAGGACCACCATCGGACTGCTTGGTCGTATTACACACTATGGCTTTACCTGTGAGTATTACTGCGGTTTTGTGTAATTTGTCCTGTTCACACTAACGAAGTGAGACCAGGCAAGAGCCTTCTATACTGCGGCCTCTATGGCAAGCAATATGTTTTGTGACATTGTGTGGGGATTCAGATACTGATTAATGGGCAGTCATAGGTGTCTATCTTGAAATATCAAAAATCAAGATGTGTTGCTGGTGTTACGAATAGGATTTTCTAATTAACTTAAAGTGTAAATAGAGTCAGGCCAGAGAGCTACCTGAAACTCCAGTTGTGTGATACTTTGGAAGACGTCACTGAAACGCCCTTGAAGCTTTTCGTTTGGTCAGATAAGGTTAACTGACAGTTTGAGAACCCGTTTCATTTCACATGAAAAATATTTAACCATTTCACCGTACTGTACATAAATGATAACTGGATATAAGTATGCCTTCACCTTATAACTCAATCTTCTTTATTTTTTAAAAATATAGCGTCCATGCATTTCCAAAAAAAAACATTGTAAGTCGTTACAGAGACCGTTAAACATTGAGTGGAAAATATACACTCAGATGTAGTGGTGAGTTTGATTTAAAAATTCAGATGTATCGGTTGATTTGAAACAACCGCGTTTAGAGGTAAACATAAAGTCCACAAGAATAGCAACTAAGTTGTCATGGTCAGGTATCTGGTCATGTACACATGATTCGATTCAGCATTGTGAGAATATTATATTAATATTGCGTACAATGTTTTTCTTCGTTTCTGTTTTCACAAAAAGTTAGTGAATGAGTATGATTTTACGCCGATATTTTTATCATGGCGTTGGACACAGACATGGGCCTCGTACAGTGTGGCCATGTGGGGAATTAAACCCGGGTCTTCGGCGTGACGAGTGGACGCTTTAACCTTCAGGATACACCACTGCCCTTTCACAAAAAGAAAACTGTGGGCGTGTAAACTAATGTTAAACCTGGTGGTTATTACTACGTACATTTATTGTTCTGCGTTTCAGTTCCCTGGTGTCATCGACTTAAACGTTGGAGGACGACATCTGACCACATCTCTCTCGACCCTCACCAAGTACCCGGACTCGATGTTGGCCGCCATGTTTAGTGGAAGGCAACCAGTGATCCAAGACAAAGATGGCCGCTACTTCATCGATGTAGATGGAGACGTGTTTGTCCACGTCCTCAACTTTCTGAGATTCGAGACAATGCCTCCCCCCTGAAGCAGCTGCAGATGTTCAGAAGTATGCAGATTACTTTGGATTAGATGTCCTGAAGGAAGGTATTTCAAATATCCAAGACAACAGAGATACACTCTATGATATATGGAGGAGCAATTGTTTATCAAACGTTACCAATTACACCCGTCACTGGGAAGTCGTGGAACGTGGACTGAAAAAATTAGACTTTTCTTCAAGGTCTATTTGTCTCACCACAAAGTTAAATTCGTGTTTATGTGGGTATTACACTTGTAGTCTTCCTAGTTCAGGATATTCAGTGATTGATATAAATTTGTCTGAATATGATCATTACAGACGACCATCAGTGCTCAATCTTCTGGCACATGACGTACAGCGCCTGGGCTTCTTCATTTTTGAAGGAAACATACACAGCAACTGTAACTCTCACATCGGAGTCCTGTTGCAAATAAAGTGAAAGAGCACAACGTCACCAACAACGTCACCAACAGAAATTCGCATTTCGTCTCCATCTGAAAAGGACGTAAATTGTTTTCCCTAGGCCCCTTTAACAGAAGATGGCAATGGTGGGAGGGGGCAGGGAGAACTTCATTGGGTGGCATTTTTAGAAGTTGTGGAATCACATACCGACTATCTTTTCCATTTTCCTTTACGAAGCTAGTACAAACATATATGGTTGTGTATAAATTTGGTTGTAGATCGTTGTTGTTTCAGATCTTGATAGTCCCTAACACTATTTGATAGAAATGAATACTTGTGTTTGTAATATCTCACAGTGTGTTAGACAGATTTACGTTGAAACGTTATTATAAATTTTAGAATAATGTTTATGTTCATTCATTTAATTATTTACAGTTCATATGTTCGCCTTAAAGTTAGCAGTTTGATAATCTGGTACATATTTAGACCTACTTCCTATATAACTGTGGGTGTGTAAAATCAAACTGTCAAACAATCAACATGACCTTAAAGTCACCGGTCAGACGCTCAACTGATCCCTGGCTTTGTGGATAGGAAGGTTTACATTGGAACATTAGTTGAACAGTCCACATAACCATGCGTGCCCTGATGTGACTCATTACTACCTTTGACACTGGAGGAACTGAGAGGCACCAAGCAGCAGAAATACGTCTTGACGCGATGCAACACGCTTAAGAGGACAAGGGATAAAGCCCATAGTACTGAAGCAAGTGGTATTGATACACCATAATCTACCGACAGGAATCATTACAGATCGACGGCATGTCGATAGGGTCGACTTGTCCGAGAGAGAAGGTGAAAATGGCCTATCTGCTTCGGCGTTATCGAGTTCCATGTAGACAAGTGTGATGATGATGATGATATTTTAGAGACTTTACGTCCGCTTTCCAACATGATACGTATTTCGCCCACTCTGTCATGTAATGATTGCCTGAATGTTCAGCGTGTTGTCTTTTTATACCGCCCACCATGAACAGCTTAGATATATACACGGTTTCAAACGTATGTGACGACGACAGGCTGTTGATCATCACAGCTTCTGTTACTAATCAGCTTCACAATGTCACCACTGTAGAACTGCACACGCTACTCGGACACCTGCAGATATTGTATATGTTGTATTCTATTCTAGATTATTGGATACACTAATGAGCTCGAGTGCATGCAGTTGTATTACCCCTTGCAGGAGTTTAGCGGTATCGGATAATTGTAAATAACTGTAAACACTTATTCCACAACGAATCACTTGAAATCAGGACCTGGTCTTAACATTGATGCATGTATTTTGCACGCCAACATTGTTACACTTTTGTCATATATTCATATAATAGCTTTTTAATAATTTAATGATTTTGTGAGTGAATGTTGATTTTCGCATCAGCCGGCAAATGATATCAATAACCGGGTTTCTTGCCTGATTAGGCAACTGCATTATTTACTGTTGAAACAAATTGTTAATTGTATGTAAATCAGGTAATCGATAACCACACTTGTAAAAATATGATTTTGACATGTAGCAAATAAACTGAAACAATTATTGTCCATATTGTTTTAAATGTGTCTGTTGTAATTAGATGAATTATTTATTGCAAATTATATTTGACGACCATATTGTTTGCCGTTGTGTGGATGCACGCGAGGAAAGCCTTTTAGCTTTAGTTGGTGTTACTATCTACCAGATTAACAGCACTGGTTGATTTTGTGAATACCAAATTCAAGCCAAGTACCAACTTCACCCACTCGCTTGTTTTCACATCCCACCCCAGTGGCACGACCCTACGCTGTATGAGCCCACAGATGAGTCATAACGTTATATATAAGTAGCAAGTGACACGGAATGGAAAGTCCACTGTATCCAGCTTTCGATATTAAAACCGAAAGTAGAACATAAAAGTTGAGGAAAGTTCCAGCACAACAGTTCAACTGCTGCTACTATGTAAACAGAGTATTTCACAATAATGCCCTGTTTTCGAAAGCACATATAGTTGTCTATAACGTTGAATAATAATACATATGAGTCACAATGGCATCCCGTTAATGTTTGGGTCAGTGCTAAACTGTAGTACATGCTTGTCCACGTATCAAAATGTTGCCATAGTGTTTATAGCTTACACAGCGTAGAATATCAATAACATTTGTATGCGTTATGTGTAAAGTAACAGGATACCAAATGAGTAGCTGATATAATTTCTTATAATATTTAATGATTTACAATCTCTGGGATCAGTCTACTGTCTATACGGGGCTGACAAGGAAGGGGGATGCTATGGGGGTTGGGGCTGGTGGCTGGAGTACGAAGAGAGCCTTCGCATTTCCCCTGTCTCATAACCAGACACCCCCAACATAACTGTTTCCAAGTGATGATATATACAAATTCAGATGATTTAAATCTATTATTTGTAACTGTCATTTCATGAACTATAACCTCGAGCAAATGTTTCTCCATACAAAATCATTGTTGAATATACATTCCCTGTGTGAACAAGCAAACCGCATGCCCTGGTATTCCCCAGCCTTGGGTCAAAATGACCTTACTCGTATAGCTTGCTGACGGAAATCGGTAGTCTCGTGATTGACGCCTTCCTTATGATATCCTCCCTGAATCCTCTTTAACACGCCAAACTGACTCGTGTTGAATAATTATTTTAACTATTGTTATATCTAACTATTTTTCAAGGCCTGACGTGTTTTCTATATACGTGGCTCGCAAACATCCTATATACGTCACGAGTCACGTGTGGAATGCTATTTTAAGATCATTTGCAACACAAGCGTATGTCAGGGCGCCTCTAGATACTGTACTAGGAATAATGCTAAAGCGGCGTTAGATTAATTATACTCTCTCACATATTTTGTCTTTTGAATCATCAGCAGAGATGGTGTTATTCGGGGATACAGTAATTGATTGAATATTAAAATTCACACACCTAAATGCCTTTCTGGACATTTGATAAGCTTGAGATACCGTAACCCAGTAACACATCCGTATCAATGCTGACGACATCTTGTATGAATATGAACACCAGTTACTCTCAGTATAATTCTATACGTGGCAAACATGATTATATTCAGTTCGGACACCCAGTAAATGTATAGTATACAATTATTACACCTATGCTTTGATTGCAGTCACTGGACTGGCTGGTCCAGGCTCGATTATTAACAGTCATGGATACATATGTTTCAGTTCCCTGAAATCATTGATCTAAATGTGGGCGGACGACATCTCAGCACCCGTGTTTCAACTCTCACCAAGTACCCGGGTTCCAAGTTGGCCGATATGTTCAGTGGGAAGTACGCTATTCCCCAAGACAAGGATGGCCGCTTCTTCATCGATGCGGATGGAGACGTTTTTGTCCACATCCTCAACTTCCTGAGGCATGAGACGCTGCCCCCTCCCGACCAGGCTATTGATGTAAATAAGTACGCAAACATATTTGGCATAGAGCAATTAAGAGCTAAACTTTTAAAATGGGAACCAGTCTTGAAACAGGCTTTGAGAGACAAGTGGAAACGAGAGATCGACGGATATGATGATTGCTTGAATCAGGTGCGAGAAGGGTTGATCGCAAGTCGGTATCAAAGAGGTCACCTGTACATTCAATTTACGGATTCATTTCAACACGTATTCTCCTCGTGCAAGGTGGCTGGTATTCCTGAGGGGCATCAGGTCATCAACGTGAAATATTCCTCCAACAAAACGGACGGTACAACTCTTGTGGCCTTCCTCAATGACGATCTGAAACGTATGGGTATTTACCTACAGCCGGGAGACTTCCGCCCTAAACCAGAGTGTGGTTGTCGCGTGGTCCTGCACTACATGATAAAATCCGAGTAATTGATGTACACAAATCAACAAACGCGTGTAGTGAAATTCAATTTCGCACGTGCAACTCGTACATCTGGCTGTTCTACTAGCAAGTTGTCCCCCCTCGTAAGAAATAGCGTGAAGTAACAACAAAATACTAATCGTTTGTTAAACAACTTTTATTCGGGTGTCTAAAATTATGAGACAAATCATTAGAGTTGGTCTGTCGATTTCACGTGACTGTGCTAAATTTGGTTTTGTTGCATTTATTAGCTTTTGTGTAAGTGAACAATTCATCGGTCTCAAATGAAATCAAACGGACTGTAGTGTACACGTACGGACATTCTGTCACTTGAATACACATGGGCTGTGTTTGTATCGTATGCATTTTATAATAAAGATCTACAGATTCTGCTGATGTTCCAGTGATTAATACCGGATTAGCTCCGTTATGATCATTACTTCAGCAGTCACAAAACATTAGGATGGAGTGCTCCAGACCAGAGACATTATCCTCAGAAGTGAGATCCACCTATATCATGGTACGGGAAGAATCAGGATTTCGATCTGACAACGTCGGGCTGAAAGTAATGTGGAAAGTGGCACTTTTGTGAAATCAAGTGTTCAAGGATAATGTCTGTTCTTCACAAGTGAGATAACATGTGTGACCTTTCATTGATACATACGTTTTAGACGAATGATTTAGTGTGGATGATGTTAAGTAATTTTTATTGTGAGAGCTATAGCTGCTTAGTGTTTGGCTTTGGTATTTGTATAGATCAACCATAATTCCCTTTTCATAGGGGCGGTGGGGTAGACTAGTTTGGATTTACGCTGCTTTTAGCAATATCCAAGCAATATCTCGACGGGGGACACCAGGAATGGGCTTAACTGACTGACTGAGTGAGTGAGTTCAGTTTTACGCCGCTTTCAGCAATATTCCAGCAATATCACGGCGGGGGACACCAGAAATGGGTTTCACACATTGTACCCATGTGGGGATGCGAACCCAGGGATCGGCGTGACAAGCCAACGCTTTAACCACTGGGCTACCCCCCACCGGTGAAACCCTCACCTTATCTCGTGACCCCAGTTGGTCTGTCTGACGTCAGGGTGGTGTTATTTACCCGTGCATAGAGGAAGTGTCTGTTACAGCATATAGACTAGTGCGTGTTGATAACGATATCTGAAAGCTAGGGCAACAAAGCACACACGTCCATTAACAGCAATAACATGGAGGTAAGGTACATTTAGCCTTCTGTAAATGGGTGTTGTTGTACGCTGCAGTGTATAATATTGAAGCTGGGTCAGGCGTGGTTTAACAAGTGGCTCGTAGTACGAAGAGCAACAACGTCGTTTTCTCAGAATCTGATCTCTGTCCAGTTGTACTTACTCTTGAGCCAGTTCAAATCGCCCGGGGCTCTTTAGGCGAATAGTCTAATGATAAATGATCAACTAACTCTGTATTGTCTTCTCTTGGCTATATCGCTTAAATTAGGGCAACTCGATGCTAACAAAAAGTCCGTCACCTTACTTATGTACCTTAACTTGTTCATAAACCGTTAGGCAGGTATTAACGTACATTTATACAGCAGGGAGTTCACGTTTCTTAAGCTAGGCCAGTCAATATACAGAATTGCTTCCCTTAGCTGTTGCAGAATCTGTTTGGAGTTTGTTCATCACGATAATCGTTTATAGGCTACCAACACTGTCCAGCGTCATTTGTGTCTTTCTTACGCGTCATGCACGTCATTGTGGTAATGAGGGTATTTTAACATAGCAATTACTGGGTGTTTATGACGAAATATTTTCATTATTGTTAGATATATTCTCGTAGGCTGATCAAGACACACCTCACTAGTTTTACATGCTCTTAAGATAACACCATATGATTATGACAAGTCGAGTAGCAGGAGGTATTAGTTTCTATTGCGTGGGTGTCGATATAGGTATCTTGACGCGTCAAGCTAGTCTACCTTCGCCTTGATCTCCCAGTCAGCATGATACATGAGGGTCAGGTCGACCAGTCAATACCTAAACGGGAAAAGTTATTTCATGGTATCACTGAAAATACGCATTAAAATAACGTGAAAAGGATATTTGTATTTGAGGTAAATATAATCATGTTTGTGTTTATTATCACAGATTGACAAATATGTTACAATGTTATATATTTAACATAAAAACAGTGAAAATAGGAACAGTATCATATCAACATTTCTACACCGTTACAGATACCAATTCAAACTGAATACAAAAGCCACATAAAAAATTTGTGATATCTTCCTTGGGATTGATGTCACTGTATATTAAATGTATAGTAAACCAAATATGACTGACACAAACGATTTTGCCAAGACTGCAATCAATACATCATGTAAAATTAATGAGTGAGTTGGCGTTGAACAGAATGTCAGTGATATACGTCACATGCGTTTTCGACATGTATGACTAAATTTTATTGAATAATATTTGCATGCTATGGTATTAGAAAGTCTTAACAGCGGTGAATCACGCCTCACTTTTGACATATAAGTTAGCCATGCCAATATAATGCCATATTATTTCAGTCAGTCACACCTGGTGTGTTGACTTTCCTGACAGCTGCAAATCTCGTTATGTACCTTTGATACACGCATACAATACATACATATCACACACACACACACACCACACATACATACATACATACATAGACTCACTTACATAACATACATATACATACATAGATACATAGATACATACATAGATACATACATACATACATACATACATACATACATACATACATACATACATACATACATACATACATACATACATACATACATACATACATACATACATACATACATACATACATACATACATACATACATACGTACGTACATACATACATACATACACACACAGACATACACACACAGACATACACACACAGACATACACACACATACATACATACATGTGTGATAGAACATTTTGTTTTTAATGCAGTTTCCTGAAGTCATAGATCTAAATGTGGGTGGCCGACATCTGACTACGTCCCTTTCCACACTCCGCAAGTACCCGGATTCTATGCTGGCGGCCATGTTTAGTGGAAGATTCCCAGTAACCAAGGACAACGATGGTCGGTTCTTCATCGATGTGGATGGAGATGTGTTCCTTCACATCCTTAACTTCCTGAGGTTCAAGACACTTCCGCCGCCAGAAGCTGCACTCGCAGTACAGAACTACGCGGAATATTTCGGATTGAGGGAGTTATGCAACAGGCAACAAGAATGGGGGCCAGTGTTTGTGAAAACATTAAAGGACAAATGGAAAGGCAAAATAAATGGTTACGAAGCTTGTCTTCGACAAGTTCGAGATGGATTGCTGACCTGTAACTTTGACAATGGCTATTTCTACATCCTGTTTTCTGATCTTTCTAAGCATATGTTCTCCAGGTGTAACGTCCCAGGTATATCTGATGGGCATCTTGTTATCAGCGTTACGTTCTATTCCTCCAAAACCTTGAGAAGCACTCTCATTAGATTCCTCAATGATGACCTGAGACGTATCAATGTCTTTCCTGATGGAGACGAAGTCTACAGACCGGAATCTGCCTGTGAGTGCAGAGTAGCATTCAGGTTTATTCTGAGATGATGAGGGACGATGTGGACCTTCCTGATACATGCCTACCATTCCAGAGACTCCATGTACATGAACACAGTAACACGATGTAAAGCTCAGTATTGTTTCTTAATGGTGACGACATGCCGTGATCATGTTAAAACAGAAATGTGAAAACCGTTTCCACTTTCGTAAGAAACATTCAGCAATATTACCAAACCAAACTCAGTCACTCACTGTTGAATGGAAACAAACCCTGCAGTCGGTTGTGTGATTCGACATCAAGTCAATGATGCCTAAATGTGGTTTGACACAGCTATGAGCAATCTTCCGGCCAGATCAGGGCGTTGTATGCAAATTAAAGCACTGGCCATACGCATCTACCCCATGATTAAAGTTTTGTGGAAGATGTTACGTTCTTGTTCTTGTCATGATTCTGACATAGGAGTTCATTGACAAACCTGAACACGCGTATCCAGATGCAAAATCATAGAGAAATTATGTATCAACAAGAACATGGTTTAGGGTCTGGACATAACCCAAATCTGTTGAATCCGGAAATAGATGATTTCTTCATTGTCGAAATGTACCGAGTCGTTTCTTCAATGTAACTTTGTCACAATCCTCGCTCCACTTCACCTCATCTTCAAAACATTTAAAATGAATACGACTATGATGTGCAATCACCAGTTACTGCATTCCGAAGAAGGGTGGGCTTCGGCAAATGATACTGCCTTGAAATATGGTTTTACGCTTATTACAGCTGGAGTTAATATATCACATCCTTTGCATGATTCTGTCACTAAAACAGCCCACAACAATCAAGCTGCGTGGACGTGCTGACGTCATTCATACGATCTGTGGCTGGAGACGTCAGACACACATTGTGCGCTCAAACAGAATACAAACCCTATTTACTGCAATCTGTGTCGGTACAAATCTCCCCAAGCCCATCGCAATATCAGACCTGCTGTTAAGACGAATCACAAGCTAACTGAAATCAAATCAAACGTTTTCGTAAAGAGAGAAAGATGCAGCTTTGTGGATAACAACTTGTGTATTGCATCACAACAAGTACTTGTTATTGTTAAACTGGTCCTTGTCCAAATATATCATGCATCTATACCTCTCATCACTTTGTTGCAGTCACTTCAGCTTGTTAACGATGTCAGACAATGTACAAGTATTTATACCATCGCCGTACTAATGACATTGGAAGCATCTAAGAGGATTTGGAACATAGGTATCAACAATAACATGCCTTTATCGATTTGGGGACAGTTGGAGATGAAAAGGAAAAGCGATTAGTGTTGTTTGAAGGGTTTCTTTGTTTTTACGGGTTGTGATTCGTTAAATGTAAGTCAGGCCTTGGTATTTCACCTCTGAGACAATTTTCTATCATGTCAGCAAACAATCGATTCTTTAACTACTGTTCAGCTTTCTGTCCGCAGTGACTGATTCTTGAGTGCCAACACATGATTCAGTTGTCGTCAGATTTGTCTGTTGCCTTTGTTTTGTTTGTTTTAAACATATTTTATTCATGAGAAAAGGATTGGGTACAAGTTATACAACTTAGAACACCCTCTATTACATAGTATTTTTTACATTCATTCTACCAGATGGACAGAAAAGAACAGAAAGATGGGAAAGAGAGAAACAATTGCAACAATTAAGAAAATCGGTTTGATTGACAAATATATGTTTGAACAATTTTCAATATGTTTTGATTTATGTGAACAGTCTGTTGCCTTTTACAACATGCAATTAGTAATGCACTTGAACGCAAGTATTTGATGTGTTTGGACTCTTCTGAAAAGACTTGTACGTCTTTAGATAACGCAAAAGGGTACACATTTAACATTGTCTTGTCTAGAGTATATCACTTTGAAACGCGACCAGTAGTCCATTGGTTTATGTTTATGTTATCGCCACAGTCGGTGTCAAGTGGACGTTTGTTTTTGTACGTGGGTTTTCGAAATCCATGTTTGGTGAATAAGTTTCGTCATTTGTTTAACTTTATGTTGTTTGTATGTCACAATAGCTTTTGCCTTTGAGTATAGATGTAGGTGGCGCTGTGCCTATGAAACATCCATGATTTATCCAATCAAGCATGAAGCCTTAAAGGAGTAAGTTCAATTTATGGCAGACAGTGATATTACTGACAGAGAGGTCAGTTTTGCCAATCAACGTGACTGGAGTTCACCAGGCGCAGAAGCTGAACCGATATGACATGAAACGGATGGATGCTGTTCTAAAACTGACAAAACTGACTCTTACCTTATACCAAGAATCGATATGTATTGACAGAATCGGTTAAGCCAAGTACGTTAGCAAGTGTGACCAATTCAACTTTTGACTTTGAACTAAGCAATTTGAAAGCTTTAGCTAAATGAACAAAAGCCCACATCCCTGTAAACAAGTGGCAACCTGCACTCACCTCAACGGGTCAGCACAGATCCGTGACGTAGAACCGATATCTGTTTGACGTATACGTGGTGATGTCCTTGAACATGTTTACGTCCATCTATATGCATGAATGGTCACACATCTTCACATATGTGAACCCAGTCCCCACAAGACATGCTTGGATAGTTTTCAGACGAAGTCATTTGATAAGGTTACGTGCTTCAAAACGTAGAGGTGAAACTACAATATGACACAAAACAAATGCCGGTTGTAATTATGTGCCCATTAATATTTGTCTGCGTATTCCACCAATTCCCATTCTGATGAGGATCTTTACAATAAAACTTGTAACGAGTCTAGGTAAAGAATGCAGCCTTCTAAATCTGTGACACTATTTCTTATCAATACAGTGATTATAAGCCTGTACTGAGATGTCACATCCGTGATCTAATGTACAAGACGTAGGACGCTCATGTAGATATCAATTAGTTGCATGAAATCAAACTAACTCTCACGATTGGTTACACCCACTTGGGCTGGCAGTTCAGATTTGAAGAGGTCATTTAAGACAATGCGGTTTTAGCTACTGCAGATACAGTCATGAATATTTATTACCTACTTTACTGTATTGACGTTTGCATCACAAGGGATAACTCATTCGTTTCATCCATATCTACAAGTGTAAGTGTAGGTGAATTTGGGGGAATGAATTGACAAATATTATTGTCATTGTCTATTCATTCAAAGTGGGTTAAAGTAGCGTAAAATAATTTCCCGTAAGTACGTAAGTCCCATTTCATTTAAAGTAAGGGCGGTGGGGTAGCCTAGTGGTTAAAACGTTCGCTCGTCACGTCAAAGACCCGGGTTCGATTCCCCGCATGGATACAATGTGTGAAGCCAATTTCTGGTGTCCCCCCGCCGTGATATTGCTGGAATATTGCTAAAAGCGGCGTAAAACTAAACTCACACACTCATTTAAAGTAGTTTACATCCTACGTTTTATTAATCGTAGCATTTCTTACCTGTTTGGCTTTCACTTTAATAATCGCCAGTAGCCGAAGCGTAAACTTACAGAAAACTCTCAAGACCGCTCGGTCATTCGATATCTTCAAAGCCAAAACCATTGAACGAGTTGGTGATGTAGATGCTTGGGAACTCATTCTGGTTCAGCGGAGCACATTGTCAACCCTTAGATGTCTTTAGAAGATCGATTTCAAAGTCACCATTGAATGAAGACACTTATAATGCTCATTTAGTTAGGCTTTGTTAAACTCTTTAACCTTTCGTTGAACTCTTTAACCCATCACAGTTGAACAAGAAACATCAAACAGATGAACAAACATTAACATTAGAGCGAGTGACACACACAACATCAGTATGATGTGTCTAAGAACGGTTCTGATTTTGGCAGGGTCAATCTCTGTGGTGAGCTCGAAAACAAGGATTTCGAAATTTGAAAAAATGATAAACGACATGAATCCCCAAGAAGTACAAGATACGTCCTTCATGTCTGAATGTGTTGCTGCATGTGCAGCCTCCGAGACATGCGGAGCCACCAATGTTCTATTCTCCGAACGGATATGCACATCCATTGCCTGGCACATGGTCAATGAAAACGTGTCAAGTTTCAACGGAGTCACGTATAAAAAGGTGAGATTTGCCAAAAGGTACTACCAACACTCCAGACACTGGCCTTTCCAATGTTATTCTTTATTGTTTTTCACATGAATGCATGCGGTGTGGCCTTACAAACGTACTAATGCAAGAGTATTAAGATATGATTGAAGACGAAACCAACTAGATAGAATCTAATGTGTCAGTTTTCCGTTGTATAACTCCTTTACCCTTTCACCTTGGGTACACATATACAACCTACTGCTACTATATGCTTTATGTCACAATGTCGCTATGCTGCCTTTTCACAATTATTGGTGGATATTTGTAATAGGTGAAACAAGTATGTATGCTTAAAGGAAAAATTATTGTGATTGACTTGAGGTTAGATATGTGAATTAACAACTGATATTTTTATAACGAGACTTTTTAATATTGCAAGACAATCATTCCACAATAGGATTTGAAGTGTTACATTTTAAACTTTTCTGGTGGACACATGCTAATGACAGTCAAAATGATATTCACATAGTCAATAACGTGTATGTCCACCATGAGCATTGATTTAAGCTTGACACCTCCGCCTCATAAAGCCAATCAAACGTCGCACGAAGTCTTGTGGAATTGAAATCCATATCTGTGGAAGCACCTGGCGGAGTTCCTGAAGTGTGACTGGGGGATTTGGCCAGCGTCCCAATCTCCTCTACATTTCGTCCCAGACGTGTTCGGTAGGGGCTAGAGAAACGGTATGGTGACTGGATTAAATTTCCAGTTAAATTCCCATTGATGACATGCAAAGGCGTACATCCTGCACTCGTTATCCCACCCCAAACCATCACTCCACGCTGCCCAAACGGTCGGCCTCAAGGAGTAGTATATACAATGGGGGTTCTGGATCACTTTCAACCAAAGCCTCTGCAAAGCCTTATTTACCAAATAAGGCTTTTGTCGGGCCCTTAGCTCTTGCTACCATTACCCCTACTATGAAAAAGTTTGGGCCGATAGCGGTTCTGGATCACTTTCAACCAAAGCCTCTGCAAAGCCTTATTTCACAAGTAAGGCTTTGGTCGGACCCTTAGCTCTTGCTACCATTACCCCTACTACAAAAGTTGGGGGATGCGAACGCACCTCCTAGCCGCGCTACCGGGGGCATGGGGGAAGTAACGGGACACCGCTATGCCGTGTTGACTGGAGGTAACACTGTACCGTACGGTACGATCAATAATTCTTCTCTCACAAACCCCCTACCTGGCCCATCCCTCAAGTAGTACAAGTTAGGCTCGTCTGCTTTGATGTCCACTTTATCTATGTTGTAAGTTTTGACTGACCATATAGGATCGGTGGCTCGCCTACGGCTATCACCCTCGTGTTCCCCCGGCTGGTATAGATACCTCACTAGGGCCCTATCTGGTATCTGTTTCTCCTTCCCACGCAATGGAGCAGCCGGCTCTGCAACTATTGATTTTAGTTTGATAGCGTCTGCCGGTTTCTTATCAGTGAGCCGGGTGACTTCATGGTTGATTGCCGACACCACCTTGGGTAACCTCGCGACCCATTCAGTCGATCGTTTTCCCGGGGTTGCCATCTCCCTCGCATACTGATGTCCGAATAAGCGCTCTGCCAAAGTCCTATTAAATCTCTCAACTATGGCTTGGCTGCGATGGGCTCCAGCCGTGCCACGCCTGACCTTTGTATCGTGTTTGGCTAGCAGTTGTGACACGTCACCCATGAACTCCCGTCCGGGGTCAACTTGCAGCTCTGTTGGCCACGTCAGCGGACTGCGTTTGTATATGCGTTCGAATCCTCTGGCTACCTGGGCCGAATCTTTCGCGGTCAAGGGTTCGGCTTCCTTGTAGCGACTGGCTACGTCCACTACGGTTAAGGCATACTTGTACCTCTTGTCGTGGGGTAGGAACAGTAGGTCTGCCTGGTGAACGCTATTAGGTATGTTAATACCGAACCTCCTTCTAGGCACGTAGCGTGGTGCCGGCAAATAGATCTGCCACAGGGCTTGTTTTTCAAGCCACGCTTTGGCCTCCTCCGGGGGTACTCGCGCCATTTTAGCTAGCTTATCTACAGCACTAGCTCCTTTCCAGTACCCACGCGGGCTGTAGTAAATAGCCTCAAACTTTCTTTGGTTTCGTGACATGTCTTGGTTCAATTTTCTCATGCCCATACGCGTACGTGTTTATCCCATCAATAGCTATCCAACGTTTAGTGTCCATAGGCGACAGGGACGTCTTGTTTATAGTCAGTCCGTATATCTTATGCCCATCACTTCTAAGTGTGTTCATTTTATGCCTAAAGGTACGGGTCTTGAACAGGGCTTCCTTGAATCTGGCGTGTTTGATGTGTTGTTTCACCACATACTTCTTAACACCCTTAGCCTTCCGGATTTCACCATTGTCGGCCTTCAGTATGGAGTACATCTTAGGCCTCAACCCTATGTACTCGGCTATGGGCGTGCCAGCACACTCGTCCTTCATCTTACCTAGGACCTTTTTATTTACCGTACTGTGTATGGCATGGTCCTTAGGGTAGTCGCTGGTGTCATACAAATCGAGGTGTTTTTCCATGTCAACGTACACGTCCTCGGTTCGAATCTCCATCAGCAGGGAATCCGTGTCAGTGTACAGCACTTCACACCTGTCGCCGTACTGTTTCTTAAGTTCGTTGTAGTAAAAGTCGTACA